TGCATGAATGCGAATATGACAAAGCGTGGCGCAATTGTGTATGAATGTCAATAGTTTGACAATGTCTGCCTCTGAGTACTCGTGACGCTGGGCGTGGCCGCCGCAAGGAGCTTCCCCGGGACTCCCCGACGGCATCGCCCGCGCGCCGCGACGCCAATGTCGGCGCGCCCACCGGCGAGGATCGCGCCCGCTTCCTCCCCTTCCTTTACTCCCTCTTTGCCCGCGCACTCAAAAGTCCAAGGTTGCGGGCGCAGCGCAGCGCGGAGTCCCCGCGACGCGCGCAGGTCGCCCCGGAGGGGTCCCAGCGACGCGCGCGGGTCGTCCACTGCGCGGAGCAAAAAGAGCTAGCTGGCTGGCTGATAGCGGGCAAGGCTCTTGCCGCTGGGCAGAGAGACGACGGGACGCATGCGGGCACACCCACTGGGACCTTCGGTGGAGCTCCCTATGGGGCCACGGAACGTGTGAGGGGTGTGCCGAAATGGGTGTGCGGGACGCATGCGGGCACACCCACTGGGACCTTCGGTGGAGCTCCCTATCGGTGGTGTATGTCAAAACGTGTGAGGGTGTGCCGAAATGGGTGTGCGGGACGCATGCGGGCACACCCACTGGGACCTTCGGTGGAGCTCCCTATGGGGCCACGAAACGTGTGAGGGGTGTGCCGAAATGGGTGTGCGGGACGCATGCGGGCACACCCACTGGGACCTTCGGTGGAGCTCCCTATGGGGCCACGAAACGTGTGAGGGGTGTGCCGAAATGGTGTGCGGGACGCATGCGGGCACACCCACTGGGACCTTCGGTGGAGCTCCCTATGGGGCCACGAAACGTGTGAGGGGTGTGCCGAAATGGGTGTGCGGGACGCATGCGGGCACACCCACTGGGACCTTCGGTGGACTATGGGGCCACGAAACGTGTGAAGGGTGTGCCGGGACGCATGCGGGCACACCCACTGGGACCTTCGGTGGAGCTCCCTATGGGGCCACGAAACGTGTGAGGGGTGTGCCGAAATGGGTGTGCGGGACGCATGCGGGCACACCCACTGGGGCCTTCGGTGGAGCTCCCTATGGGGCCACGAAACGTGTGAGGGGTGTGCCGAAATGGGTGTGCGGGACGCATGCGGGCACACCCACTGGGACCTTCGGTGGAGCTCCCTATGGGGCCACGAAACGTGTGAGGGGTGTGCCGAAATGGGTGTGCGGGACGCATGCGGGCACACCCACTGGGACCTTCGGTGGAGCTCCCTATGGGGCCACGAAACGTGTGAGGGGTGTGCCGAAATGTGTGTGCGGGACGCATGCGGGCACACCCACTGGGACCTTCGGTGGAGCTCCCTATGGGGCCACGAAACGTGTGAGGGGTGTGCCGAAATGGGTGTGCGGGACGCATGCGGGCACACCCACTGGGACCTTCGGTGGAGCTCCCTATGGGGCCACGAAACGTGTGAGGGGTGTGCCGAAATGGGTGATGACGATGATGATGAAGATGGGAGGAGGGAGGGGGCAGCGGGAAGGAAGGAACGCGGGGCGCTGTCTCTTCAAAACGAGGACCCAACACCACAGGATGGTTGGGAAATATGATTTCGGGACCATTTCTGAGGGAGGGATGCTCGAGTTTGTCCGACAACATTTTGTTTGTTGTTGTTTTTTTCCCAGGGTTTTGCTTGATTCCGCCCCCGACGAAGGAATATGATTGAGATGAGGAGGAGGAGGAGGAGAAGGAGGAGGAGAAGGAGGAATGGGAGGAGGAGGAAGAGGAGTGGAGAAGAGAAATATCGATGTCCTTCGAAACCGTTTCATCAACGTTGAAACCACAAAAAGCAATCATCGATTTCAGCAGGGGGGGGGAAACGCCAGAACCCATATATCTAGAGAGAGAGAGAGAGAGAAAAAGAGAAAGAGAAAGAGAAAGAGGAAGAGAAAGAGAGAGAGAGAGAGACACGGAGGTAGAGAGAGAGGGAGGGGCGTTACCAACCACATGTCTTGCCGGAGTATCGAATGTTGGCGAAGATATTTCCGAGTGGAGCTAATGGCGCCTAAACGGAGGGGAGGCGGTCCGTGCTGAGAGCGGCAGACTCCTACTGGATACACACCTGAAAACATCCAAAGCTGTAGTTTAAGCAGTGCCGCGATAGGTCTGTGCCGGCCTGAAGACAAAAGTGCACCAGCGTTTACATCGACTTCCCCCCCCCCCGCGTTTTCATACGATCTGATTGTGTTCCTGATGATCCTGAGAGTTTGGGTCGAATGCTGAGAGTCTATGTCAGTCTAGGCTTAAACGCAACGGGGCCTGTCGCCCGTGGTTTAGGTACCCGTGGCCAATGGACGTCGGACCTGTGACGGCTCGTGGCTCGCGGCTTGCTGTCCGTGGCTCGCGGCTCGCGGTTGTCGCTGCTCACAACAGAACGTTCTGACACTTGACCTTTTTGGCATTACATTTGGACAGCTTCTTCGCGCATACATCTTCCACCAGTTGCTTCATTAATGTTGGCGTGTCCCAGTTATATGTGAAGGACAGGCCTATTCGAGGTCTGCCTTCGCTGACCTGATGGCGACGACAGGCGAAGGCGACATGCTTGATGCTGATTGTGCCGCCGCTCGCCCCGCACGCCCTGTCCCGCTCGACCTGACGCTTGATGCTGATAATGATGCTTATCGTGATGAAGATGACGGCGACGCCGACGACTATGGCGAGGATGAGGATGCTGATGGTGATGATGCTGAGGATGATCATGACGATGACGATGATGATGCTGATGATGGTGATGCTGTTGATGATGATGACGATGATGATGATGATGAGGGAAAGAGGAGGATGAGGAAGAGGAGGCTGACCCTGATGATGATTAGGATGCTTGGTACTGGTGGTGATGGTACTTCTGACGACGATGATGACGACGCTGACGATGGTGATGCTGATGATGATCATGATGATGATGCTGATGATGATGCTGATGATGATGATGATGATGGCGATGAGGATGATGACGGGGAGGATACGCATGAGGAGGATGATGACCCTGCTGATGATGCTTTATGATGTTGGGGATGATGACGACGCCGAGTTTACTTATGATGATGGTACCGATACTGATAATGATGATGTTGACGATGCTGATGATACTGATGACGATGATGATGATGCTGATGATACTGCTAACGATGATGATGCTGCTGATGTTGATGATAATGATGATGAGGAGGGGGAGGCAGAGGAGGAGGACTGTGCTGATGCTGATGCTTGATGCTGCTGATGAAGGCGACGCTGATGAGGAGGAGAAGGAAGATGACGAGGCGGAGGCGGATAAGGATGAGGATGATAAAACTTGGTGCTGGTGATACTGATAATGCTGACGATGTCGACGACGATGACGAGGACGAGCGCGAGGATGAGGACGATGAGTATAAGGAAGAGGAGGATGACCTGATCATGATGCTTGATGCCTGTGATACTGGTGACGCTGGCGATACCGACGTCGACGATGGCGATGACGTCGATAATGATGATGCTGATGATGATGAGAAGGACGGAGGTGAGGATGTGGATGGGGAAGCGGAGGATTATGATGCTTTATGTTGATGGTGATGCTGATGCTGACTATGACGCCGCCGCCGCCGACGACGACGCTGATGATGATGCTGAGGCCGACGACGGGGAGGAGGAGGAGGAGGAGGAGGAGGAGGAGGAGGAGGAGGAGGAGGAGGAGGAGGAGAAGGCGCAAAAGGACGAGGATGGTGAGGCGCAGGAGGAAACGGAGGATGACCACGATGAGTACTTATGCTTGATGCTGAGGGTGATGCTGACGGTGATGACGATGATGACGACGGCGACCACGATGATCATGATGTTGATATTGATGATGATGCATATGATGATGCTGTGGAGTAGCCCCATGAGAGTTTTGGAAGAACAGGGTGATCCTGATGATATGATTGATGCTGGTGATGATGACGAGGATGACGATTAGGACGACGACGATGACGATGATGCTGATTATGATGCTGATGCTGATGCCGATGATGATGATGATGATGGTGATGATGATGATGATGCCGATGATGACAGTGATGATGATGAGGAGGAAGCTGGTGATTTTTTGGCGTAGGAGAAGGAGGAACAGGAGGAGGAGGAGGACGAGGCGGCTGATCCTGATGATGCTTGATGTTGATGCTGCTGATGATGATGATGATGATGCTGGTGACGACGACGACGACCACGCGGAAGATGACGGCGACGACGAACGACGACGATGATTAGGAGGAGGATGAGGAAGAGGAGGAGGACGACGAGGACGACGACGACCACGACGACCACGACGACGTAGACAATGTCGACAACGACGACGACGATGATGATGATGCTGTTGATGATGATGATAATGGTAGTGGTGATGACGGTAATGATCAATACGATGATGATGATCATGATGAGGATGATGGCGATGATGATGATGGTTGTTGTGATGGTGATGGTGAGGGTGATGATGATGTTGTTGATGGTGGTGACGTAACGATAATGATGCTGATAATGGTGATTATGACGATTAATGTCAAGAAGATGATGTGGATGATGATGCTGACGACGATATCGACGATGACGATGATGATGATGACGATGTTTACTTAGTATGATGATGTGTTTGATGATGATGAGGATGATTACTATGATGATGATTATGATGCTGCTGTTGATGATATTGATGATGGTGCTGATGATGTTGATGTTGATGTTGATGATGATGCGGCTGATGATGACGATGACGCTGCTGATGATGATGCTGATGACGATGATGATGAGGATGCTGATGATGATGATGATGATGATGATGATGATGATGATGATGATGATCATGCTGATGCTGATGCTGATGGTGAGGATTATGTTCATGATGAGGAGAAGGACAATCATGATGACCCTGATGATGAGGATGAGGATGAGGAATAGGATAAGGAGGGTTGCTATATACCCGGCCTCCATTTTTCCCGCTGGATCCGCAGTCTGGTCAGGTGTTGAAGGCATCTGCCTCCGGCTGCCAGACTTCAGACATCCCGATGACGACTTCATCGATGATTACCAGGATTGAAGATCTTTGCATCTTTCTTGTGCGATATAGAAGCCGTCGCTCATTTCGGCTGCTGCTGCGGGTTGCCCAGCAAGTCTTGCGGTGCTGCCCGAGGTCTCGCAGTGCTGCCAGAGGCCGATTGGCAGGGATAGTTTTAGGGGTAGGCTTGAGAACTTGTGGTGGTCCTCGACGTTTGGCCTCGTCCTCACTTCCGCCGTTGTAGTTCTCGTTGTTGCCATCGCTGCTTCAGTGCGATCGGTGCTGCTACCGCTCCTCACCAGTGCTTCCTTCGCCTGGCCTGCCCCAGCCGTGGAAATGGCAAGCCTCAGGTTCATCATCTTTCTTCCTCCTCGGCCAGCTGGTGCCTCCTCTCGCCGCCCGAGCACCTGAGCGCGATATAATATCGGGACATGAGTTGGTGTTCCCTTATGTGAGGAATGTCACGTCGATGTTCTTCTTCGTGGTATCGTCGGATTGGCAGCCTGTCAGTTGTGTGTAGGCATTGCCATCGTGGCCAAGTTTATTCTAGACGCGTCGCGTAACCCCACCAGCCCATCCAGAAACTATGCCCAGACGAGTTGCCTTGATCAGGGATGTGGAGGCGCATGCTGGAATAAAGGGCTGGGAAGGAAGTCATACCCCAAGAAGGGAGGATGGAGGAGGAATCGGAGGAGGAGGAGGAGGATGAGGGAGTGGAGGGAGGGGGAGGAGAGAGGATGGGGAGGATGCGGAGGAGGAGGAGGAGGAACAGGCGGGTAAGGAGGATGATGATGATGATGATGATGAGGAGGAGGAGGAGGAGGAGGAGGAGGAGGAGGAGGAGGAGGAGGACGAGCAGGAACGCAAGAGCCCTGAGCCTTGAGCGCATTGTCTAATTCGAGGGGGTACACAATTCAGCCCCCCCCTATCGAAAGCTCATTCGGGCAGGACTCTGGCAAGTCCTAACATGCGTGGCTCTTCAGCTTGATCTTGAAACGTCAACCCTGCGACCGAGTTGTCCTGGTGTGCCGAGTTCATACCGCCACATGCAGATGCACTTCTTGAAAGGGTGGGCAAATACAGCAGGGAGGTCTGCACAGCCGAACCAAACGTACCCTCGCGAATGGGGCAGCGTAACAGGCCGACTTGCAGCATACGTCATCATGTTTAGACTGTGGAAGTGCGTGCCTAGACATGCGTGCCGCGTTCCTCCTCCTGTTCTCTTGTTCCTCCTTCTTTTCCTCCTACCCCCAAGATGGGCCGAGGAGGTATTCTAGAATGCTCTGAAGACAACTCGCGGGGAGATCAACGACACCGCCGTGGCATGGGGACATGCACAGCACCACTATACGAATGTTCCCGCTGTTTTCTGCGCCCCCTCTGACACGCTTCCAATGTGGCTGTGCAGCTGCATGCTTCCACGCGTCCCTGATTAAGCAACTTCCCTGGCAATCGTTTATGGATGGGCTAGTGGGGCTATTTCTTGTTTACCGACCGCTTGCGGACAGCCGCGCGGCGTCAACAGTCGAATGAAGCCAGGCCTACGTGCAGGGCGAGAGCCTAAACAACAGCTTGCAAGCGTGGAAGAGGACAGAGCAGGGGGAAAAAGAGCGCGGGCGACGGACGGGCGAGAAGAGGGCGGGCGACTAACGCAGCGCAGCTCAGAAGCCAACGACCAAGCCCAGGCGCACTAGGAACCCGTCGTCCTCGAAGTACGTGCCCGGCAACGTGTAACCGCATGCGGCCTGCACATCGGCGTCAATCAGATGCCGTGAGCCGAACGACGTGAGCTAGTGGGGCTACTTTTTTTTGCGGGCTCTTGAAGCAAGTCGAAAGCCGTCCGATCACTAGCCGGGCCGCGACTAGGCAGCAAGAAAAGAGAGGGGCAAGCGAAGCGAGCGCGCGGGTAGCCACTCAGAAGGAGCACCAGGAGCGGCACTCCCAACCCGGTGGCGTGGAAATCCCGGTGGCGACCATCAAGTAGGCGCAGCCAAAATGGCGCGGCGGCGCGACCATGAACACGCAGAGGTCGATCACTTGGTGTGAGTCGGCATCGGGCCCGACAAAAACGAACAGGTCCGACAGGCAGCTAGTGGGGCTACTTTTTTTGGTCCGCGGCTGCAAGGCGAGAGACAGGGAGCGAGCACAACGTCTGGGGCGCGGTACGTAGACAATTGGCGCGAAATTGCCGCGGATTCCAGCGGGCAACACAAACAGCGGCACATGCACATGCCAGGGACAAAATGCCCCTCATTGAGACGCATTCCAGCGTCTACCGGTGACCGGCCCAAACAGCCCGGCTGGTGGGGAAGCAAAGGGCGCGGCAACGAGGCGGCAACGGAACGGGGGGGAGAAATCGCCCTTGCGGCGCCAAGCTCCAGCCGAACCGCAATCGGAAGCGAGGCCAAGACGGACAGTAAAACAGTGTAGTAAGCCGCGGGCAGAACGCGAGTCCGAGCGGCCAATGACCAGACGGAACCCACGTGTGTGCACACTGAGCCAGACCGTCCAAGACCTCGGAACAAAGAGGGGGTGAGCGCGAGCGAGAGCACCTAACTCAGACTCACTGCGCCTCCACGAGCATACGATGATGCGGCGAGGGTGACCCGACTCACCAAGGCTCACTGAAGCTGAGGTGTGGCTGATCCGCGTCAGAGCACCATCCAGTAAGAGGCAGACCACTGGTGTGCGCTCGCGAGGCTGAGCAACATCCAGCCGGTAGCCTGTGCGCTTACATCGCATCCGAATCACGCTGTTCGGGGCACAACGATGCAATTGTATTGACGAGGGCTGGCGGCTGCGGCTGCGCCGAGAAGAGCGAAACGAACTCGAGCGGCAGAAGGCTGAACCACTCAATGCGGGGCCGTTCACTTTGAAGCCAATCACCATGTGTATGGCGGACAGCCGCACCCACTCAACACCTGCCACGCTGCCCGTGCAGAAGCCGAATACCTCCGACGCCGGGGCGAACCGATGGCGGGCAGCTGCAGAGCTGCTGGGCCGTACCGTTCGCTGGCGGCGTGCTGACGGCGGGCCAAGACGTCCGTGTCGTAGAACCATGATCGGGTCGGCGGCGAAGGAAGGGCCGCTGTTCGTTGGGCAGGTCTCAGGCCAGACGCGCTTCTGTGGCCTGCGCAATGTGATGGCGCTGTTGGGCAGGGGGGGGGGGCGCGGCCAAAAGCCGCTGACCACGAGTGTCAACGGGGGGTCCGCGTCCGAGCACCATCCAGTAGGAGGCAGACCACTGGTGTGCGTTCACGAGGCTGAGCAACCTCCAGCCGGCAGCCTGTGCGCTTACATCGCATCCGAATCACGCTGTTCAGAGCGTGAATTACCTGCCCCGCTTTCGCTTCCAGGCAAAACCAAGTCATACCACGCGCCTCCTCGTCAAGCGGCCTGACCAGTACAGGCCGTAGTTTGGCATCGTTTGGTATCTCTTGGAAGCAAGGGTGGTCAAAAGCGAGGTAGGTTTGTTTTCCCCCTAGCTGTTCGGGGGCACAACGATGAAATTGCACTGACGAGGGCTAGGGCTGTGGCTGCGCCGACAAGAGCGAAGAGAACTCGAACGGCAGAAGGCTGAACCACTCGATGCGGGGCCGTTCACTTTGACGAAGCCAATCACCATGTGCATGGCGGACAGCCGCACCCACTCAACACCTGCCACGCTGCCCGTGCAGAAGCCAAATGCCTCCGACGCCAGGGCGAACCGATGGCTGGCAACTGTAGAGCTGCTGGGCCGTACCGTTCGCTGGCGGCGTGCTGGCGGCGGGCCAAGACGTCCTTGTCGTAGAACCATGATCGGGTCGGCGGCGAAGGAAGGGCCGCTGTTCGTTGGGCAGGTCACAGGGCAGACGCGCTTCTGCGGCCGGCGCAATGCGACGGCGCTGTTTGGGAGGGGGGGGGGGGGGGGGAGCGCAGCCAGAAGCCGCTGAGACGAGCGCCAATGAGGGGGGGGGGGGAAGGGGGGGGCGCAGCCAACAGCCGCTGGACACAGATTAAGATGGGAAGTGGCCGGCGGCCGCACTGCCGCCCGTGACAAATTATTCCAGGGACGGGGGCGTCTTGGCGGGGGGGTGCCGCGCCACTGCGCGACGAACGCGCCTGCCCCCGTGAAGGGTGCACCGGGCGCGACTAGCGTGGCCCCCGCGCCTCGCACAGGGCGCCCATGCACTGTGCCTCTTGTCCACGGGAGGGCGAGGCTGCACGTGGATAGGCAAAGAAGGCGGCGCGCAGGGGGTGGGCAATTTCAGCCACCAACCACAGCCGTCCAAAGTGGCTGTAGCGCGCGGAAAGGCGAAAGAGGTGGAGCGCAGGAGGCGGGTTATTTCAGCCACCAGTCACTGCCGTCCAGCGGCTGTCGTGGACAGCGGGAGCGCGGGGCCCGGGGGGGTGACTGCGTGCGACCCCAGAGCCCTCGCTAGCAGTGGCCTCCGTCGTGGGCGGCTGCGGCCGTGGCTCCGCGCGGCAGATGAAGACGCCCCAGTCGGCCGCAGGGGGGGGAATCCTGGCAAGGTCCACGAATCCAGCGTGGGCTGTCTATCTGAGCAGCGATATGGCACTGGTGCCCTCCGCCCCAGCGGAGGTGGCACAGGGTATTGCGGCCAAGGCCGGGCGCTGCAGGTGAAACTGTCCCGGGGGGGGGGGGCGCGGCGAATGCCGGGCGGAGTGGAAAGAACCGAGGGGGGGTGGGAGATGGTGCGAGCGGCGCACAACAGGCTGCGCGATAGGTGATACAGGAGGTGGGCCGTAGCGATCGCCGGTTCGCTGACTGCCACCGAGGGGGGCGTCGCCGCGGCTGGAGCCCTTGGGGAGATAGCCAGAGCCAACGCCGCGGGCAATCGTGAGGTGAGGGCGCCAACAGCGGCGGAGGATGCCGCCGTGCTGGGGGGCGGGCCACCCCAGAGCGGGCCCCTCCTTGCGCCCCCGTCATCTAGTTCAGGAGTCCCAACCTCGCGGGCGCTTGTGAGCGCATGGGTCATCTCCTCTGGGCGAGTAGCGCTTGCCCTTCGCCTTCCAGTCCTGCCTCGGCCCATGGC